TTTCTCACCAGGCTTGGGTTCTCGTTGAATGTTCTTCAACAATTTGTCTTGGCAATCTTTTCCAGGTGAAATGCCAAAACCTCTGAAGCTTTATTTTCGTGAGAGAAAGATATCTTTAATTGATCGCTTTCGCCGAGAAAGCCTCGTAATTCTTCACATTTGCCAATGCTAACAACAAAATACGGCAAATGTTTCCTCCTAAAAGCTCAACTCTTGCAAGCTTGCAAAGAAAATGAAACTGTTCCGCAATGTCTCCAATCTGTTCGCTTATTGCAAGTGCCCTCTTATAATATTCTTCCGCTTCAGTATAGTAGCTGAGGAATTCAAAGATAGTTCCAAAGGTCCCATATATTGAGGCTTCTCCTATTCTATCCCCGAGTTCTTTATTGATCGCAAGTGCATTATCAGAATATTTCTTTGCCTTCTGAAAATCTCCAATTAATAGAAATACAGTTCCAAGGTTTCCGTAGGAACGGCGCTCTCCTTTTTTTTTTCGCCAGTTTCCTTTCTGAGAACAAGTGCTTCCTCGAAATATTCCGTCACCCTCTCATAATCTCCAAATGCGTTACCTGACACAATTGCAAGGTTGTTGTAATAAGTTCCTTCTCCCCGTCTATCACCAATTTCTTTACTGATGGCAAGTGCCTGTTCGTTATATTCTCTCGCTTTCTGATATTCCCCAACAATGTAAAACATAAAACCAAGGTTTCCGTTCGAGTTGCCTTCTCCTCTTCTGTCACCAATTTCTTTGCTGATGGCAAGTGCGTTCTCGATATATTCTTTCGCCTTCTGATATTCTCCAACTGATTGAAGCACTACTCCAAGGTTTCCGTAACAGTTAGCTATTGCTTGTCTGTCACCAATTTCTTTGCTAATGGCAAGTGCCTCTTTGAGATATTCTTTCGCCTTCTGATGTTCTCCAACTGAATAAAACAGGGTTCCTAGATTTGCATAACCTGTTAATTCTCCTGTTCTGTTACAGTTGTCTTTGCTGATGGCAAGGGCTTTCTCGTAATGTTCCTTTGCCCTCTTGTATTCGCCAACTGATTGAAACGCAGTTCCAAGGTTTCCGTTAGAGGAAGCCTCTCCCTGTTTATCACCAATTTCTTTACTGATGACAAGTGCTTCCTCGTGATATTCTATCGCTTTCTGGTATTCTGCAGCTAATTGAAACACAGCTCCAAGGTTTCCGTAAGAGTTAGCTTCTCCTTCCCTGTCAAAAATTTCTTTACTGATTACCAGTGCTTCTTCGTGATATTCTTTCGCTTTCTGATATTCTCCAATAAAGTAAAACACAGCACCAAGGTTTCCGTAGGAGGAAGCTTCTCCGTTTTTGTCACCAATTTCCTTAGTGATGACAAGTGTAGTTTCGTGATATTCCTTTACTTTCTGATATTCTCCAACTGACTGAAGGACGGTTCCAAGGCTTCTGTAAGAGTCGGCTATTCCTTGTCTGTCACCAATTTCTTTACACATGGTAAGCGCTTTTTCGTAATATTCTTTCGCCTTCTGGTAGTCCCCGACTGACTGAAACACAGCTCCAAGGTTCTCATAAGAGTATGAGTTTTTTAACACCAATTTCTTTATGAATGGCAATTGCGTCCTCGTGACATGTTTTGGCCTGATGTAATTCTCCAACTGACTGAAAGACAGTTCCAAGTATTCCGTAAAAGTGAGCTTCTCCTTCTCTGTCATGATTTTCTGTACTTATGACAAGTGCTTCTTCGCAGTATTTTTTCGCTTTCTTACAGTCTCCAAGTTCCTGAAACACAGCTCCAAGGTGTGTGTAAGACATAGCTTCTCCTTTTTTATCACCAATTTCCTAGGATACTAATGGCAAGTGTTTTCTCGAAATATTCTTTTGCCTTCTGATATTCTCCAATTGAATAAAACAGAGTTCCTAGATTTCCGTAATTAGATCGTTTTCCTTCTCTATCACCGATTTCGCTTTTGATGGCAAGGGCATTCTCGTAATATTTTTCTGCCTTTTGATATTCTCCAAGTAATTGAAACGCAGTTCCAAGGTTCCCGTAACAGGAAGCTTCATGTTGTTTATTTCCAATTTCTTAACTAATGGCAAGTGCGTTCTCGTGATATTCTTTCGCTTTCTGATATTCTCCAACGGATTGAAGAACATTTGCAAGGTTCCCGTAAGAGCTGGCTTCTCCTTCTCTGTCAGAAATTTCTTTACTGATGACAAGTGCCTTCTCGAAACATTCTTTTGCCTTCTGATATTCTCCAACCGACTAAAACACAAGTCCAAGGTTTTCATAATCTACTCCTTCTCCT